CAAACATTCCATTCCACGTCCCATTGATCTTCTTCCCATGCTTGCCATTAGTCACCAGGTAGAGATCATAAGTGAACTTGACAGACTTGGAGATTTTCTTCAGGATGTCAATGCAAAACCCCTTGCAGCATTTCTTCATGTAATCTGGCTCTTCGTCTGTTTTGTTTCTGCAGAATCACAACCACAAGAGATTAAAGAGGAAAATTTCACTCGTTATCCCCCTTGCTTCCCAAGATACACTCTCTCCTCCCTGTCACACAACTACCTTGTGAAGAGCTCAGCTTGCAATATCAGTGCTGAGGGACAGAGCGAGCCAGGCGGGTTAGTTTGGCTGGCTTTGGCACTGGTGAGTGACAGCATGGGTCAAGCTGAAAAAGCCCAGCTGGCTCTGCTAGAGCTGTGTCAGGGAGAGCCAGCAAAGAGTACCCAGCTAGCTCCACCTGCTCTGCAGGTAAAGGCAAACCAGAAGGAGAAAGATCCTGTGGGTGCCTACTCAGACACGACGCGTTTTTGGCAGGGGACTGTGTTCCTCATACAGGTGCCACTTAGCGGGTCCACATTCTCCACAATGACGAATGGTGCCTCCTCTAGGGTCACAATACTCAGATGATCATCCTCCCGCTCCTCAGAGTCAGGGTACAGCTCAAAGCGGGGCCACACATAATACTTCATCTGTAGGTTTTTATCCTTCCATTTCCCCACCTGCAAAGACACAGAAAAAGGCAGAAACCTATGACTGCCCCATCCTTCTCCAAACTACGCTCTCTAACAATTTCCTGTGTCCAGAAAAAAGAGGATGATCCGGCATGTCTGAGTCCACCCATGTGCGAGAAGAGGACCACCTCTGGGGAAATCAATTAAAAAATAAGGAAGGTCACATTTGAAATGACTTTGGAGAGTTTATCTTCCTAGAATATTTAGGTGCATCATAAAACTACAGCACAAAGTGACAACTTTTGGCATAATACTCAGTCTCTGCTCTAATATGAGCTAAAACTGAAGTATGAGGTGCTGCCAGTCAGGATGGAGCTGCATCCAGTGAAACGGATGAAGACTAAAACAGCAGGAGGTACAGCAGGCTGGGGCTAGAGATGAAAGAACAACTCACTTTGTCAGCTTGCTGACCAAGGTGAAAAATAAATAAACAAACAAACAAATACTTCCAGTGTACCCAAAAAGATTTATTTTTTGTTTTCTTACCAAAAATCACTGGCTTCAAATCTCCTGTGTGTTTCCTTTTTAAATCCAGAATGAAATGTTTCATTTTCAGGAAGCTTTGATCTTTTTCTTTTCAAATTAATGTATGCAAACAGCCAAACAAAATGTCATTTTGGAATGAAAAATTGAAAGATTTCATTTAGAAAATATCAAAATTAAACACTAAACATTTTGACATTTCCCCTTTTTTCAGAGGAAGCTAAATTCAGTAAATTAGCTTCAAGTGAACCAAAGAAAAAATCATTTTTCCTTTTTTTTTTCTTTTTTAATGAATAGGCCATTTTTCCAGATATTTTCACTCAACACTAATCCAGATGGAGTTAACTTTGACAGAAAAGCCTATGACTAGAATAGCTTTGAGTGCTGCATGTCAGGATTGACCACCTCTGAATAGAGCTGTGAAGAAGCAGCTCATTTAGCCATTACCCACACCATCTCCAGCTCAGCCCTTGCCAACAGTATCACTCATGATTTATACATTTTCATGACCACTAAATTACACACGTGTCCAAATTAAATGTAGATGAGGAACCAGTGCTTCATCTTCCTGTCATATGAAAAGATATGCTAGAAAGAAGCTATTATTTTTCCTTTATTGTTATTTTTGTTTAAGGAAATGTTGCAATTATACATCTTGAGGCAGTACTTTGCTGCATGTGTGGATTATATTCTATCTCCTTTCTCCAAATGAAGCTTTCGACACTCCTTTGACTGGTGTTAGCCCTTTGAAACCATTCCTATCCATCATGACGCAATGAATTTACAATGCCTGCTGCCCAACGTAAATTATTCCTGAAGAAATTCCAGAAAAACCATCCCTGATGCTTTCAAGTATCAAAGCCTTGACTTTGTTCACATTTTCCCCTGTCACAGTTGATGCTAATTAGCACCTTAGCTGACAGCTTGAGCAGAGGGGGCAAGGACTGATTGGCTTTGAGAATGAACTCTCTTCTTGTCCCTTCAAGCACTCCCTCCAGGTCAGGTCTGAAAAACATTAATGGAGGGGGTAGGGCAAGCATGTGGAAAGTTTGTCCTGCTGCTGTTCATGATGTACCTGCACTGCGGGTAAACCAAATAGCCTGTTTTCCAGCAGCTGTCAATACAGCACCTTTCACTCTATTTTATATTTTTTTACTATAGAAAAAGTGCTTATTAGAACCTCTTTAGGTGTCAAAGGTTATTCTATAAAATTAAAGCCTTTGTAGCATTTTGTATTTGATGGCATCCAAAATCAGCATGAAATATTTATTGCCTTTTTTTAAAAAAACCTTCATCTGACTTTAAAAGAAAAAAACTGTCCAGAATGGGTTTACCAAGTTATTTATGGGAACAGAAAAGTCACTCAGGCAGCAGTGAGTCTGTTACCCTCTTCCAGTGCCAACGCTTCCAGACTTGAGGCAGCGTAAGAACGGGTGTTATAAAAGTATATAGACTATGTAGATTGCTCCTAAGTCTTCATCCTGCCAGATCTCTGCTCATACACACATCTACTAACATTCCAAGTAAGTGTTCAATGAGATATCTTTCAGAGCCTTGGCAGTAGCCAGTAGTTAGATAGTAACTATCTAGGCAACAGGCATAATACAAACACCAAACCAATAAATTAAATCAGGTAGAGACAAGCCCCAGACCTATCTCATGATTAGCCACAGGTCCTTTATGACAGAAATAGGGAGCTCATAAGGTTGCATACCAGGCATGTTTTGAGGGTTTTATTATATAGACTGAATTTATGTGAGTGCTGAAGTACTGAAAAGGTAAACCCAGCAGTACATAACCTGTTTAACTGCCCATCCAAGGGTAATAACTACCTAAAGCCAGTCCATGGCAATCAGCTTTCTAAAAATTGTCCACAGAAGAGGAAAAACTCAATATATGTGAATGTGCTGACCCAAATTTTCAAGGATGCTATAAGTGCCTTTATATCCAAATCCTGCATTTTCGGTGCTTGGGTGAACATTCAGGCATAACTGAATAAACACTTACATGCCTAAAGACAAGAGGCGATTTGAGTGCACAAGACGGCTATCTCCTGCCCAGCTTTGAAAATTTAAGGCACGAGAGAAATGTCTTGAAATGCTTTTGACGGACATTTTTTCACCTGGAAATCAACATTGCATATGTTCATTAAATAAGCTGTGTGCATATATGAAAAAGAAGAAACTGTGTGCATCTATGAAAAAGAAAATGCAAGAGAGAAAGATACAAATGTATTTTTAATGTGGTATATGTGTGCATAGGAGAGGAAGGGAGCAATCTGTTACGAAGACAAGAGATTTGTGTCAACAGAATTAAATATCACTGGTTTGTCTTGGCTAAATCATTAAAGGTGATGCCTTCATTTAAAGAGTATAACCTGCCAAGATCTGCAAGGCAGATTGAGGCACTTCTGATGTCTCAGTATTTGAAGCAACTTGTAAATTCTTATTACTCCAAGTTTTGCTCAGTTCTTGCAAAAAAGGCTTAAGGTTCTGGTAAACGGCTTCCCACTTATTAGTTCCTACGCTTTCCAAAAACCCACTCCTGGTAATACCAAAACCTTCTCCACTCAGGCATCAACCATGATAATTCCCACAGGAAGCTCCAGGTAGAGTTATGTGTAGGGACCGACTGAATTCACAATGGAAGTGGGCTGCACAGCAGCTCCTTTAATCTTGCAGATTCCCCTGCACATCCCCCTTCCAGTCCTCCGCCCCCCGCCAATTGGCAGAGGCTCCCTGCCACTCACTCCTGATTGCCAGGGAGGTGAAACCCACAGTTTTAAATATGACACTGGCTGGTGAGCAACAAGCATCAGGGCCACAGGGGCCCCTCAGCCAATCAGCAACTGGGGGGGAGGGAAAGAGAAATGCATGAGTGAATTTACGAAATTAGAAGAACTGCCATACAGCCTACTTCCACCGTGAATTCAGTAGGTCCCTGGCTATATGTATTTTTTTAGTTCCCCATATCCATTTCTTTTAGTGTTATTAGCTCAGAAAGTTATTTATACAACAGAAAAGAGTTGATAAACTTTTTCCGTGGGCATCTTGTTTGTTATACAGACAAGAACAGGATATTAACCAACTCTAAGGTTATAAAAATTATCTTGTAAATAATATGAGATCCCTGGCTGAATGAAAATAATGGTAGATGACCACATTCCTGCCCTCCACCCCCTGCCCAGCCAGTTCCTTAACCAATAATTAAAAATGGGAAAAAACCCACAACTGGGATAAGAAAACAGGCCCAAATGCTTGTCCCCAAATATTAATCCCCATGCCTCTCACAACCTTTCATTTAGATGCAAAAAGTCTGGTTTAGCGCATTAGTATAAACTGGATTAAAACAGGGTGGCCAAGCTGCAAACCAAGTGCCACAATTGGCACAGGCAGCATGTGTGTATGGCACATGGCAGATCATGGAAGGGACAGGCAGAACAGCAGCAGATAGGGTAGGAAACAGAAAGCAAAGCAGGAGACAAGGAAGGGGGCACAAGGTAGGAACCAGAAAGCAGAGCAGGAAATATGGCAAGGAGCACAGAATAGGGAGCTGAAGGCAGAGCAGGCAGGAGAAGGAGATCAGAGTGGCACTTGGGGTGGGTGTGGGACTAATTTATGGCACATCTGCCGAAAACATTGGCCCCTACTCTGCTAAGACATGTGAGAGTACACTGTCCTACGTGTTGCTGATGTCACTCTATTGGCAAGTCATCAAAGCACTGAATTTGCTGTTGTGGTACTATGGGATAGCTTCTCAGACGGCACATCTACATGAGACACTACGTTGCCATAGCAATGAGCTACATCACTGTAGCTTGTTGATACGGCAACGTAGCACTGGCCGACACGTACTGTATTGCCAACACTACTGTGCAGTAGCTCACTGCTACCTCTCATTGGTTACCATGCAGTTCGGTGCATGTGTAGACCTTCCCCGAATGTACTTATTCAAGCATGTTTATGTAGTATGACAAACCTTTAACCAGTTAAGGTGATCATTACAAAAATCACAATTTAAAGTTATAAGATAGCCAAAACCATGTCACTTGTCTGAAATTTTCCATGACTTTCCAGTTTGAGGTGAGTCAGAAACACGATGAAAACAGACGTTGATTATATTTCTCGCTTGCATTTTTTTAAATCTAAGACTGGAGAACAGAAACAGAATGTGGAAAACATCTTTACAAAGTTAAATATTACTCCATGGGACCCCCCAAAGTGTGGGGCCTGGGGCGGTCACCCCGATTCACCCCCACAGGGACAGCCCTGGTGGGGACACTCATACACAAGATGCAGGAGGCTGCTGGAGTGCAGTAATTTCCACACTCCAGCAGACTCAATTAATCAATTCTGTTCGATTGAGTCTGCTCCAACGTGATGGCATTCCAGCATGTCAGAGCAGCCTCCCTGCTCATCTATAGGCACCCACTAGCTCCATAGTAAATTCTCAATGGGCACATTTACAAGTTCATTAATGCATCATAATTATGGTGCATTAAGCTT